GGACGCACAACTTTACCATTACCATTCAGTCTTGCCATACCATTACCGAGTACTCCATAAATTGCGGCGATTTATGCGGGCGTGAGTGAGACCTCCCGCGAAAAAATAGGGGATAGAATTACTGCTAATTATCCATGAATTATAAAAGTTTTAATTAAGTCTTTACGGGTGCAATATATATACATAGTATAGCGCTCGATCAAAAGTCGCCGCCCAAGTTGTTACACCAATTTACAAGCTGAGCAATATGGCGTATGAAAAATACTCGGAAAATATGTAATGATTGCCTTTAATACAATTGTAGAAGTACCAAGAAATAGCAAAGCACGTCATGCAGGTTTATTGGTAAGAAGCGTCGCGTTGCAGTTCTGCAGCGGCATGGAAAGAGCCTCAGAAGGTCGACTTGAAAACCCTTAATGGTATAATGGACCCAATAATGCGGCTCTCTGGGTGTGTGACGTGTCAATAAACTTGGGTTTTATATATATAAATTGAAGCTCAAATTCCGGCGGCAGTCGTTCGCGCGTATATCGATTAAAATTCATGTGTTCAATGTATTTTATCTACCAACGTCAGCGAATGACGTCCGTACCGAACTCTCAGAGTTCCGAATATTTTCTCGGATTTGTCAAACTCTCCAAGTTTTTTCTTGAACTCTCCTAGCAAACTCTCCTAATGGCAGGTCTCCTAATTAATTGATTTTGATTTATATTTTCTTGAATGTGATTCTTAATTATTTGATTTTGATTCTTAATTGTTTGATTTTGTTTCAAAATTTTATCAATTTGATTCCAAATTTTAGCAATTTGATGTTGATCTCAAATTATTGCAACGTTTGCGCTGCCATCCCGCAGCCCCGCAATCTGAGCTTGGTGAGCGCTGGGCCTAGTTTTGACGCTCGCAAAGTTCCACATCGGATCATCGGTACCGTGAATTGAGTCGCGTGGCATTATCTACGGCCGTCGCCGATTTTCGGAGGTTCAAAGTCAAATTTTCGGAGGACTCGGCCGAGTCACTGCCACTGCCACTGACACAGTGACACTAGCCTAGGCTCGAGCCTAGCTAGGCTATAGCTAGCCTAGCTACTGAGTAGCCAGTGTCCGGACCCCGAATTTTCCGGCGCGCCGAACTCAAACTTAATTATATTTAGTCGCTAGTACTGCAAATCTGAGGCTCGGACCGCCGACCGGCCTGCCACGCGGCGAATCTCACGGTTCCGATGATCCGACGTGGAACTTTGCGAGCGTCAAAACTAGGCCCACTTTGAGAAATCAGATCCCTTATGCGTCCGATCGCCTCGCGCCGGACCGGCCGCGTACCGCGTTTCGCGGAGAAGCAATGCACGCTTGAGTCTACGTGACGGTAGCCAGTCACTACAATAAAGGCATGTGAGTTTCATTTGATGCGATGGCGACTTTGATATCGCTTGGCCACGACCATTCATATTGTTCTTACTGAATTGCTGACGGTTGCTGTTGTTTTTGCAGCTTTTGGTATGTCATTGGGCTCAATGAACGGGCAATGAACTCAATGACTACTAAGGTAAGTTCACGGTTGAAGGAGAACATTTTTGCGAACGCGATGGGCCATGAAGTTCAATGGAGTTACATGGGAATCGATCCCTCGGTCCAATGGCGCCTCCAGCTTTCTCTATAGGCAAATTGTAGCAATGTCTCATCAAGACGAGACATGCCAGCGCGAAGTGAGAATCCATCATCAACTGCGGCTTTTATGAAGTCTCACTGCGCCTTGAACTTGTCCGACCTAATCCCTGAACTTAAAGGTATCTTGATATAGAGACTACACGATCGACGGTAGCGCAGCACATATCTGCTCTGTCATTTCCTAGTACCAAACTTGGAACATGCCGAGACGTAAGATTTTTGATTGGCAACGGGCCATGCCTGCCAATATTAAGAAGTTCCACGTGACCTATGAATGTTTATTGCAAATGATCACATTCAATCGAGTCGGACATGGCAGATGCTTAAGTTCATAAAGTTGGCCACCCCAGCATTTTTCGAAAATCCTGTCCTTTGCCACGCACTGCTAGCGTCGACTCTTATGAATCTGTCCATGCTCAATCGACAAATCAATAATTTCGAAAGGTCGTTGTCGAGTGTTTGCCAATATATACAAGCCTTCGATCTGACCACTACGATGAGAATCAATGATTGTCGACACGGAAAGCATATGACCTACGAACGGGTTGGGGCGTCCTGAGATGCCGCCTCTCATCATGCGTACGATATAGAGGTAAAAGGAAGGCATCTCGTCATGCTTCAGACGTAGAGGTTTAGTTGGTCAACTTGCAGTGACGTTCCACCGAAGATTGAATCTCGATAGTGAACCGCAATATTCTATACATGATACAAAAGCAGACGATTGTCTCGTTTCTACCCTCGAAAACACCTTCAGACCGTTGCTTGATCGAAGTTCAGACCTTCAGATCTTACCAGAATCCACGGACCTATCTGGCACGATAGTACTTCGCCGACCCGACCTTTGACCAAAGGAACCCGTCTTTCTCCACCTGGAGCTTTTCTGCTCAAGCACCCCGACTGTCTTCACGCCCCATACTTATTCATAGGCGGTCCGCCCATTGCCGCGCCCTGTCGCCCTGCATCCTCCTGCCCCCCACGGCTTCCCCCATCCCACCCATGTCGTGCGCGCGCTCATGCTGCCTCGGGCTGCAGGTCGCGCACCATGGCATTGGCGATGCCGTGCACGCGCGCGAGCGTCTCCTGAATGTACGCCTTGTGGCTCATCAGCAGGTCCAGCGCGGCCAGCACCTGCCCCGTCACCGCCTCGCGCTCCGCGGCCGCCCCCGCGCGCACCTCCGCCAGCTCCGCCACCAGCGCCTGCAGCACCCGGGCAAGAGCGGCTGCCTTTAGATGCAGTCGGAGGGTTCCTCTGTGACCGACTTCCAAGGGTGCATCAGGGGTTTCGGCGCACAGGTTGTGCCAGCCGGAAGGCACGTTCGACGACGAGAGTGAAAAACTGCGTTCCGCAAGATCTACTACCCACAGCAATCTCGAGAAGAAGCATCCCCGGAGCTGTCGGACTGGGCTGCCGGCTCTGGATTCCTCCGCTCTAGGAATGCCCGTTCTGTCATGCGTATGCGGCCGCTCTCACCTGGTGTCGTTGGTCCGCGTGGTGCAGGTCCGCCCCGGTGCTGCTGCCCAGCTGCTGCAGGAGCTCCTCCGTGGCCGCAACCTCGGCCGCCATGCCGCGCACCTCGCCCTCCCCGCGCTCCTTCTCCGCCCGGCACGCAGCCTCCACCTGCACCCACGGCGCCAAACGCGCACTCGGTCACATGCCGCGCAATCATGCCAACGGTCAACAAATTGCCCCTACCGTTGACCTCGTGCATGAAGAAGGCTTTCGTTGTACGATTCGCATTCTATTGCCGTGGCCCTGCGGCCTGCCTTCTCTTGCATAATATTCAGTACGCTCACCTTTCTAAGCGCGGCCTCGCGTTGCGCCACAGCGTCCTGTTTCTCGCTCACTGCCTCCTCGCTGCCGTCCTGCGCCTCGGCCAGACCGAGCACCTCCGCCTGAGCCGCCCTGCACCAAAACCCAAAATCCAGACTATTATTCTGCCCCACAAGAACACGGGAACACCACGCTCGATGAAGATGCCCGGGTCCAAAAGCAACAGAAGTGCTGTTTGCGCATGGTGGGCGCTCGCACCTGGTCTTGGAGGTGTAGGCGTCCTTGATGGCGGCCAGCGCGGGCTTGATGACCCCCTTGAGGTCGCCGGAGAGCATGTCTTCGGGCCGCGCAGCGCGCGCATGCAAGGTCAGCTCGAACTGCAGCCCGCCCGCGCGCTTGGCGTCGGAAGGGAGCACCTTGAGCCGGTCCCCTGCCGCGTGATACGAGCGCACGGCGCCCTCCAGCTCCTCCAGATGCCGGGACAGCTGCACACGGGCACAGCGCCATCAATCAGCACGCCAATGGGCCCCAGGCTTATACAAGAGGTAGCCAGATCACGCACGAGGTGAAGGTGCACGCAAGAAGAGTGGAAAGCATTCGAAGTCAATCACAAAGAAACCAAAACAGGTTGCTGCTCGTTAAACCAGTCAGTTCCTGTGATACGCGTACCTGGACCTCCGCCTGCCAGACGTCCTTCTCGAGGCGGTCCTTCTGCGCGGTCACGGTGCGCAGGACCTCCTCCACCTTGAGCTTCTCCTTGCTCATGCGGGCCACGTCCTCCGCGTTGATCGACTGGACACACACAGACGCGCGCCGCTCTCAGGACACGGCCTCGACATTGACCTGCCCACTTCAACACGAACAGAAGCATTCAAGACACACCGCAGAGTGCCGCTCAATAGCCAGCAACTTGGAGATCCGGCTAGTCTTTCGAGGCTTGGCTCAGTGTTTCTAGTGTTACCTGTGCTGCAACGCGCGCGGTGAGGTCCTGATTCTCGGCCGCAACCGCGGCGAGCTCGGTGCGCTTGGCGGCCAGGTCGGCGGTCTTCTCGTCCACCTTCTTGCGCAGCATGTCCCCATGCGCCTGCAGGTTCCTGCACCGCATGCCAGGGCAGCCCGCGTCAGCCGCGGCAACAGCGAGGTCACACAGCATCCAACAACAGCACACACCACCCATAAGTTCCAGGATTTGACTGCGAATGGCCACCTCAAGATGGACTCTGCAGCCGCAGCCCATCTAGAAAGAAGCACAATCAAGGCTGGGCTGGCTAAGGGTTGCAGAGGTCGGAGCAGTGACTCTGCCGATCGAGAGAAGGCCCGCCTACTCTATGAGCTTGCGGAATTTGCCAACATCGCTGATGAGGTTCTCGCGCTTCCTCTCGAGCTCCTCCAGGGGCGCCGGCTGGGTGCGCGCCGCATCCAGCTCCGCGCGCAGGGCCGTGTTGGCCGCCTCCAGACGCTCAATGTCCACCCCGGTCTCGGCATCTCGGACCTGTGCACAGATCCAATCATCAAAGGTCGACAACAGCAAAGCGGTCATATCTTCTAGCAGTGGAACAAGCAGCTGGGACACTGCTAGTCGTACAATATGCAGACGGTGGGAAGAAGAGTGGTGTTGCAGCGCGGCTCACCTCAAACTGTTGGGCGAGCTGTTCGTCGAGGAGGCTGGCATCGGCGTCGCGCGCCTCGCCCTCAAGAAAGAGCCGGTACGACTGCTCCACGTACTCCAGAAACAGGCGCTGCCCCGACTCGTCGAATGCGTCGCGCTCTTTGGCAGCGATGGCGCGCTCCTCGTAGTTGAGCAGGTCCACCAGCCTGCGCCGCAGCACACACCAGGCCTCAGAAATCAGCCTTTAAAACAAGTTAACAAACGAGGCTCCAGCATCAGCATCAGGACCGAGGTTACTTGCCCTCAAGTCCACACTGAGTCATGTTGGTAAGGAAAACTGGTTTGAACTTGATTTGAACAAGCAACTGATGGCAGCGGCATGGAGAAAGTTTACCACATGTGGCGGGGTGGCTCACCAGGCGAGGGCTGCTAGCAGGGCGGGCCAGGTGTGGGGGGAGCCAACGGCCTGCAGTGCGCTCTTGCTGATCTGGAACGGGTACCGCAGCCGCTTGAACACCAGCGGCACCTCGTCTTCAATCTGCACAATGAGGAGCCTTGACGGTATGAGAGTCACAACGTGCAGCGGACAGTAACCCCTCCAGGTGAACAGAGCCGTTGGCGCCAGTATTGTCGCTCATATCACTTTGAGAAAGGTAGAGGCATCACCTTGGGCCCGAACTTGATGTTGGTGTCGACCTTGTGGAAGAGGAACTGCACAATGTGGAGGAACTCCTTGCTGGTGGGCGTGCTCAGCAGCTTCTCGCTGATGGCGTGGTTGTACCCGTGGTTGGTCAGGTATGTGATCAGGCTGCGTATGCACGCCTTCTGGAAGCCCTTGTCTGCTAGCGGCCGCGGGTCGTTCTTTGCCTGCGGCCGGCTCCCAAAGATGCTCGACCTGCCACGCACCCACAATCCCCCAATCAAAGTCTGTGCCAGCAGCATCTCCTGTGCAGCCTCCAATACTGTGGCAGTCTACACAACAGATGACAGCTAGATGGCTGCCTACCAACCAATTAGCGGGCCTGCACGGTGGCCAGCACCAGTTGCTCCGTGTTTGTTCAGACTTGTGTTGCCCTGCTTGTATGCTCACCTGCGCGGCACCATGGAGCCTCGCGGCTGGCCTGCGGAAAGGCGCGCCTGGTTGCTGGCATCCTGCAGAGGAGCGCGTGTGCTGAAGGAACCGGGGCCCACTGTCAGCCGCTTGTTCTTGGCGGCCGCAGTCTGGCTAACTCGCGCCGGCCCCGTGCTCTGGCGCGAGTTCATCTGGCTCGCCTCCAAGGTGCCCAGAGTCGTGCGCCGCTGCAGGCTCATGGGAAGGAAACGCACGGCACACAAGGGAGGGCCAGAAGGGGCGGGGGAGGAGAAGCACGCAGCACCACGTGATGGGAATGTCCAGAAGATCGAGCCCCGCTGTTGCAACAGTCGGACGCAAATGCTGATCAAAGTTCTCAGCGGACTCTCATGACTCATGAGCTGAGCCTGTGAACTTGAAGTTGAAGCGGGAATTTCATATGCAGTCCACAATCGAACGGTGAAATGATCTACGGTAGACATCCTATCGACGGCGTCCAGTGACACACTGCTGAAGTACCGGCTACTGATCCTCCTTTCATACTGAAAGTTTCATCTCTCACCTAGTTGCCGGAACGTGATCATCCTTGCCTGCAGCGCGCCGCGGCCCGGCCAGGTGGGCCCTCTGCCAGTGCACGCTCTGGAGACTGGTGCCAGGCTAGCTAGACTACCTATCTAGTCTAGCGACTCTAGCCTCTGCCAGTCCGGTCAGCAGTGTCAGCCGCCTGTCTCGCGAAGGATGAAGCAAGTTCTGGCATTCTGATTATGGGTTCCTGCTACAGGTTGAGTCCCTGGGCCTTAGGCTGGGGTGTTGCCAGGGTGTTGCAGAACCGAGCTCTGGTGTAGAGACGCTGTGTGAGTGTTTGTGGCGTTTTAAAAAGACTGTGCGCATCATTGTCAACGTTTTCAGCTCGGGCCATCACCACCCGGCTGGTCACACGGATCTGAGGCTCTCTTTGGAAGATCGTAAGGCCCCTGCTGTTGTGCCCTTTCTGTTGCGTGGGCTCCCCGGGGGGGTGCCCATGTCCGTGCTGCTTGCGGCAGCTCCTGCGGCCGGCAGCCTGCCCGCGGATGTCGACAAGGACGAGGCCCCTAGCGGGTGGGGGGAGGAGGCGGTGATTGTCAGCCATGGCGTGGCGGAGCAGAGCAAGAAGGGGGAGGACTTCTGGATCGCAAAGTGCAATGTGGAGCGCGCCCCAGGGCAGACCTTCAATGTGTACGGGGTAAGCGGCACGGCAAGCGAGGCAGGCGGAAGCAAGCGAGAGGGGTAGTGGCTGTCGGGCAAAAACTTTACCTTTGGTGATCAGGGGAGAGGGACACCAGCATTGCGCCTCATGTTGCAGACAGCGCCTAGCCTCTGGTAATTCTTGAGAAGCAAACCAGCGAGTCGAGCATGGCCATGATCTGATGACTGTCACCTCGCTGGCCGCCGTGCAGGCATGCCCCTTAGCAATTGGAAAGGACATCGTGTTGGTGATTCTCTTCTGCGGATTGGCGAATGCCAGGAGAGTATGGAGGCTGTATCTGATTTTGTGATTGACTGGTTTGTATATTGTGGACTTCTGTATCCAGCCAAGGTTGTGGCGTAGCTGATGCATCTCGGCACTCCCTGGCAGTGGCCTCCCGGCAGAGCATGTGACGCTCGTCTGCGGCAGCCGGGAGTGCACATGTCACGCCTTTCACAGCTGGCCTCGCTTCCTATCTCAACCTTCCCCCACCTTCCCGCTGGGCTTGACTGCTTGCTTGCTTGGGGTGGCAGATCTTTGATGGCCACAACGGCCACCAGGCGTCGGCGTTCAGCCGGGAGCACCTGCTCAACTTTGTGCTCAACGCCATCCCCTCCGGGCTCAGCCGCGACGACTGGCTCGCCTCCCTGCCACGCGCGCTCGTCATCGGCTTCCTCAAGGCCGACACGGAGTTCAACCTCGTAGGTAAGCGGCCTTCACAGCACCCCACCCTTTCTTGGAGCCCGCCGAGAGGCACTTCTCTCTCCCCTTCGGTTCGCGCAGACGGCTGCGGCCCCCCTCGCAGGGCCACAGCCTAGCTTCCCTGTTTGGGCTGTATAATGAGGCTGGCGTGTGTGGTGCGTGCAGAGCGGCGCGCGGGCACGACGGCGACGCTGGTGGTGGTGGAGGGCAGCACCGTCACAGTGGCGTCCGTGGGGGACTCGCGCTGCATCCTGGACATGCCGGGGGGGAAGCCGGTGGCGCTCACAGTGGACCACCGCCTGGAGACCAACCGCGAGGAGTGAGTGCGAGTGTAGGGGGCTGGCACACAGGCAGGACGTGGTGCTATGGGAGGCACGCAGGGATGTCCAGCATACATCTCGGAGGAAGATCCAGTTTGACGCTGGGCCTGCAGTGGTCCGTTGCGGGCAGCTCTGCTGCTTCTCTGCTCAAGTGGCCGGCCATGGCATGGTGGGGGTACGGCGACCTTCGAGTGCGCCTGCCGGCTGACCCCGTTGCGTCTGGTGTGTGCAGGGTGCACCGGGTAGCCGCCAGTGGGGGCGAGATTGGGCGCCTTGAAACCCCTGATGGCCTCGAGGTGCGTCTCTCTCGACTTGCTGGACTTCGCTGAGGCAGGTCCCTTCCTTGTGCACTTACACTGCCGTCCGCAACTTGACAGGTCATACTAGGGGACTCCAGTTCTATGCCGCCCCTTGGCCGTCTTTCTTCCTCGTTTGAAGTGACTGTCTCGCTGTCCGCTTTGCCTGCCACCCTGACTCTGCTCCTCCTTGCTGCTGCCTGCCAGGTGGGCCCCTTGCGCGTGTGGCCGGGCGGGCTGTGCCTGTCGCGCTCCATTGGCGACAAGGACGTTGGCGACTACATTGTGCCCGTGCCGCATGTCAAGCAGATTCGGGTTAGTGATGTCGCTCTCTTGTCCCGTCATTGCAGTTGACATGCCTACACTCAAGTTTAAGGTGCACCTAGGGCTGCAGTCGCCCCCACCTGCCTGGTCCTCGGACTTGCCTCTCGCTGCCTGCCCGCTCGTCTGACCCAGGGGCTGTGGCTGTTGTGCAGCTGCCGCCGCAGGGGGGCCGCCTCATCCTGGCGTCAGACGGCGTGTGGGACGCTGTCAACAACGAGCGCGCCGCCAAGAGCTGTCGCGGGCAGGGGCCCAATCAGGCGGCCGCGCAGGTCATCAAGGTGCCCCCCCGCCCACAGGACCCTCAACACAGCGTGCTGCCATTGACAAGCAGAGTGGTGCTCCGGAGTATTACCAAATGGTGACCCCCTTTGGCATTGAAGGCTAGGACGGGCCCAGGAGATGCAGAGGCCTGGCTGCCAGTTTTCTTGTCGTTGGACTGGCTGTATTGCACCAGGCAGCACGCTGACGTGCGCTGCGCGATGAACGTGTGCAGGAGGCGCTGAGGGCACGGGGCCTGCGCGACGACACGACATGCCTCGTCATTGACGTCATGCCCCGTCACGACATGGTCCCCCCTGCGCCGCTCAAGAAAGCCAGCGCGCTCAAGCGCATGTTTAGGTGAGGCGTCTCTGGCCCCTTCCGACATCCCTGCTTTCTGTCCCTCCTGTACCTGCAGTCACCCGTAGTCGCTCAGCCAGCACTTCCTGGGGTGTGTGGCTCCTGATGGTGCCGCATGCTGCCTGCGCTGTGCTGATCCTGGTTGGTGCGGCCTGCAGCAGCAGCAAGCGGCGCGGCGCCAGCACAGGGGACCTGCAGGGCATGCAGGAAATCTTCGAGGCGACGGGGGCCGACTTCTTTGAGCGACTCGGTCGCGGCATGGAGACGTCGGTGCACGCAGGCGGGTGAGTGGGGGTGTCAGCGGCGGCCAACAGCGCGATCGACGGGCCGACTGACCTTCGCGTGCCGAGCTTCTGGCTGGGGCTGCGCAAGTTGGCCCAATTGCCCTCAGCTGCTGGCCTGGCCCGGTGCCTGGATTCCGCTTTGTAGAATGCAAGGTTTTGCTCATTGGTGCGCTCTTGTGCACTGCGCAGGTCCATCCTTTGCTCCATCTGTAAGACGGACCTCACCCCGGGGGGCGTCAGCGTCCATGCAGGTCAGCATCGGGGAGCCTGAAGTAGAGTGCTTCAGTACCCGCGCTTCCAACCACGGTTGCTGCAAGATGTGGTCTGTGATAGGCAGGGCATCCCTTTTGCCTTTTATGGCTCTAGGTAGTAGTGAAACGCGTTGACTTTGAGCAAAGGCATGCAGTTTGGTATGTCTGGCGCCCGTCATCCGTCACCCCTACAAATCGTGGGAGTGACATCTCGTTTCTAACTTACAGGGAGCATCTTTGCCGCGGGCCCCATCCCGTGGCAAGGGCCCTTCATCTGCGCAAACTGTAAACGGGAGGCTCAAGGGGGGGGCGCCGGCTCGCCCCCGACCCCGGCGCGAGTGGTCAGCACAGGGACCATGCTGGCGGAGACGATTGAGGAGGAGCTGGCGGCATCGGAAGGACCAGTGGAGCAGATTGCCCGCCCGCCAACGATGGCAAGAACGCCCGAAGCAGGGGGAGGGCATTACCATCAAAAGCAAAAGGAGGACCTGGAGCTGAGCCCGGGGGAAAACGGAGACAGGTGAAAGGCAGTCTGAGGGGGAGACTGGAGATTGCTTTGTAACATATCCCAGTCCAAAAGTCGCTATGTGTTGCTGGGTCGAGTGCAATCCAGGACCTTAGATGCCTCTGGCGTGTTTAGACTCTTGTCAACGCATCAGTCTATAGGGTCCCTTCAATCGGTATGGGCAGAAGGGGTATTATATCAACTGTATATTCTTAGGGGACGCAAGACACCGCAAGACATGTTGAATCACAACAATTCTATCAATGTCGAAGGAAAAGTATGGATGTTACAGTAGGTCCTTATTGTTATATTGTTGGTTGGGATTTATGGCAGGTTTACGAAGATCAGGCACTTCAGCCGGCCTGCTATTGAATTGAATTCCGAGTGGCCAGTTGCTTCCGAAAACGCACCAACCACCAAGAAGAGCAAGGTGTGCCTAACTCCGGGATCCTCCTAAAATCAAACACAATGCCATGCTGCACAGATGGTGTCCTTCAAACTATGCATGCGGATATCATGAAAAAGCATCCCCGCCGCTCTCGATCATAGCAGGTCTCAGTTTTGCCGACAACACGCTCTTTGGCTCATGCACAACGGTACACCTACAATGGTGCACTATTGAGATTCGATGAGGAACTACCATGATTGAATCTACCATGTGCCGGAAAACAGTCTTCATAAAACACAGTCCACAGTTTTGAGGGGCGCATAAGATATTTTGCCTTGTTGATTCGGGTCAGTTTGAAAGCAGGCCGTGAGCTTAGAATGAGTAAGACGAGGTCGGAACGAGTTTGTACGTCGTGCATGGAAAAAGACGGGCGTCACTCTTGTGGGACATCCGGCTCGTACCTCGTACGCACATGCATATTTTGGGCATTGAGTTTGGGCAGATGTCTACGATTACATGTTTGCATGACTCAGCGGCATTCGTAACGCATCAAATGATCGTGCAATGTTTCTCGATCGCGAGATAATGGGCCCCAGCGCATGTGACTTTCAAACATGATCGACACCATTAATCGTAGTGGGTCACATAGCTGCCTCGTTCCAAGCAGGCGAAGGCAGGTGAAGGCACATGGAAAACATTGTTCTTTTTGGGGAAGTCATCTACATTGTCTTTTAAAGCATGACCGTTTTCTTTTGAGCTTAGAATCTTCTTGAAAAAATTAGGTGGCATTCTCTAGTCTCCCCCGATTCCATTGCAAGTGCGCCATTTTCATTGGCTGGACATACTCTATCCCCTTGTAGTATAAGTTTATTTATATTTGTGAGACTTGGATAAGGCTACTCTGCTGCAACGGCTATGCACTGCTGCTAATGACAGATCGACGGGCACACCGCACTGGCTTTACTAACCGACTGAGCCGACCTGTCGATCCAAGGAGCCGGGAAACGGGAAGGATTTCGCAGTCGCGCTAGCTCTTGCCATGACAAAGAACATTGCCATGACGTCAGTGTTTCGAATTTTTGAGACTGAAATGCTCTTACGGCGCGTTTGGAAGTCCACTTCTGACCCCCTCTGGACACTTTGTCATCAAGAACATACTCTAAGGCAACAACGAACCCTTACTAAGAGGGACGGTATTGTCTTCCGATCGACTTCTCGTCTTCTCCCGATCTCCCGTCTTTACGTCTTCCGTTCTTTTCTTGATTATACACAGTGAGTTATAGGTGCGCCGCTTGATAATGGTTCGAAGGGGGCCTTCGAGACTCCTTCGAGGCTGCTCCGTTAGCATGACGTAGCACATCGCCACTCATCGAATATCGTTGACGACATGTGTTGTCGCTAGGTGCAAACAATCTCTTTGTTTCCCGTTTGCGTTCTCAACCCTTTGCGTCTACATAAAATTTCTTGCAAGTTTACGTCTACGGTTTGATTATGGCAGCGGGCGTTTTCATTGTCATGGAACGTTTGAAATCGATGCCTTGTACAATGCAATGGCAGCCCGGAATGGTAGAAAGGTAGCAGAAGGGAAGTACGGGAAAGGAACAGAGCACTACTAGTGAAGTGGGTACAACGGGCCGGGGGTACTTGAACTGTCTGAACTGTCCAGACTCAGGTCTCTGTACGTCTATCTGTCTTGTCTCTGTAGGCCGCCACGGTCTCTGCCGATCCGACACAAAAGCGAACCCAACGATGAATGGATGAACGGTTCAGTGCGGTTCTGAAATAATACCTGATGAATGATAAGATGATAAATGATCACTTGAAGAGGGTCTCACACGATTACGGAGCTCGATCAGGTTCCTCGCTTCATCGTACGGTAGAGAACGACAGCTGCTATGCACCTGGGGACGTCGTCCGGTTCACTTTCCGAGAAACCCCGGTTTAGGCTTGACGTTGACCCGAGATGTGGCAGCTGCAGCGCCTCCGCATGCAGGAATGTTGCCAACCGGGAACACCCCGGGCCCCGGGCGCAGACCGACTCAAGTTTCATCAGCCGGTAGGCTACCGCGCGCGAGCAGTATTCTATTTCATGCGAAACCAATTTGGATCCCGACGAAAGCCTCGAATCAAGTTCAGAAATTTTAAATAGGCCTCGTAGGTATTAGGTATTGCAGTGCTGTGTACAATCTGGGTATGGTACTTTATATGCTCGATACCTACCGCGGGCGTGCGAGTCCCCCGGGCCCGCTGCGCCAGCTTGCCAGGCGGCTCGCGGACCCGGTACATTGTGTCCAGACGGTGCTCGAACTAGGTAGACGGTCTGATGTCATCACGCGAGTACTATCCCCACGACAGTTCGCATGTGTGACATCACGTCTACCCGGTACACCCCCATGCAGAGTCCAGACTTGGGCGCGAACGTAGGTGCAGCATTGACTCTGACTCATGACTCTGAGCAGACCAACAGATGATCTACCGCAATGCCGTATCAACACCTAAAAAGTTCTCCTGAGCTCATCGATCAAGATGTATTTTAGGTACTGGAAATGGCGGCGTATGATCCTCGAAGGTGGGACGGTGTGACTGCGCGGCCACACCAGTGCGGCGGTTCTTTCAATGAGAACATGAGAACATCTGCTGGCTGGGTTGTTGGGAATGCAGACAACGTTGCATTTGCTTCAGAAGGAAGATGCGACACAATCTTGTGCGTGAACGTTCTAGAGTCATACTGTTTTGAAGTTTAGCAAGAGGATGTTGATTGGATATTGAAAGGGCGCTGCAGTGAGCAGTGAGTTGCGGGAGCGACTTAGGAAGTAGTTCCCCAAGTAGAATGGCTATTGGCCTTGATGCCTTCTCTTGGTAATCTGAAGAGCCTTGCCTACTTCTAAGCGAGGACTATCCGACTCTAAAGCTGTGTGCCTTGATCAAAGGGAGACACAAAGCGCAACGCCCGCAGATGGTTGGGAAAAAGCGAAGGCAGCGCCCATGCACTTTGGATCTTGAAGCTGGAGCGCCAGCTCGTACTTGGCCTGAGCACTCTCTCATCCTGGGGCAATCTGCTGATCTCAGCCGCGGAGCATAGACAAGCTTGCAAAAGCATCTGTAAGATGATGGAAGCAAGTGCAGTTGTTTTGGCTAGAACATGCAAACATTAGTTGGAGGACCTGTGGAAAAGCAGGTAGTTCTTCAGCACAGCATCAACAAAACGGAACAGGATGGGTGGGATTGATAATGCTCCCTTGTTTGGCAGCCAGCATATGGTTACAGTTGCAGGCAACGAGATTGGGAGGAAGCAATGGAAGGTAATCAATAGTCTGCCTTTTTCCAGACCTTTTTGCCCTTCTCTTACCACATTACCAACTAAAACCATCTGGAATCTGAAGTAAAGGGGCTTCAGGTTGCGATGGAGCCCAAAGGACAACGCGGTGTTGACATCCAAAAGGTTCGGCTTGTGCTTGGGCCCAAAGGCTTACTCGGTGGTGACATTCCAAGAGGCCGTATTTGCTATTGTCACGCAGCACTTGCCTAACATGAGGGGACAGCTACATGCTGTGCTTTGCTTGTTGTATCAGCTCCTGAAGGAACCTTTGCAATATTCCTCCAGTCTACCACCTGAATGACTGGTGGAAGATCATAAGGGCTGCATTTTTATTTTGGTAGCTGAAGAGTTGCATGCCAGCACGTTTGCTTCTTTCAGAGATTACGCACCAGCATAGTCACCAAGGTGGGGTTAGTTGAGTACTAATGAGCTCACCCATCGCCATCTTCACACGCGGTCACATTCCCATGCAAGATTTTGGGTCTAGCTCTGACAACCAACAGGATTGTGCGTCTGTTCCGTCGTCATCAACTTTCGAGCTGTCTCTCACTGGTGTCTATCACCAAATACAGGGGTCAGATATCATGAAGAGGTTCCAGCTTGCCGGGAACACAGTGCGGGTGAGGCCATCCTTCGGCACCTGTTGAATGCAAGCCCTGAATCCAAAATCGGACTGGCAAAGCAAACCTGGTTGTGTACATTGCTCTTTCCTCCACCTTGCAATCACTCCTTCTGATACAGCAGCTCTTCTGACGACCCACCAATCTTGCAGGCTGCCCAGAGGTTTGCACATTTTGGAATGCTGCAAACACTCTCAAGAAGAATGAAAATAAGTAAGTCTGCAGACTGACACCGTATCTGGCACGTCACGGGATTTAACCCTCGCTCAGTGGAGGAACCGTTCTTATGACCATAGAAAGACTCTTGTCTGACAATGTTGTAAAGGTTCCCCTTGCAGAGAAGAGATTGAGTGTTGTCTGGGGCAGCTTTGATTCGTTACCAAGAGGGCCCTGGAATCAGTCGACTGCAGGTGCTTCGTCTGCATGATGAGCGCATTGTTTAGCCTGTATCTGCCTGGAATCAGCAACTGTTAAGATGCTCAGCTGAGCGAAGTCGTTGCATGCGTGTTCAGGTGCGGATCCTGCTGGAAGTTACGAAGTCTCCTGTGAGCGGCTGACGAAGCTTGTAGAGGGAAAGGACATGGAAGACTTAGCAGACGCAGGGGGGGTAAGTGATATGACGTGTTTGTGCAGGTCTCTGAATTGGCTGCTTCTGGTCACTCTCTCCTGTTGCACCACAACGAATGCTTTTGCGCAACAAGTCTAGGCTCTACTTCATCATTAGTAAGGCAGGTTGCTACGAGCGTCGACCTTATGCTTCTCTCAGCCCGTTGCATCTGACGCGTCTCACCAACAATTGTTTGGAGCTTGAGCAGGGTCTCAACGGCCTTGAATGTCCTTACCGCTGATCAAGATGCCGCTCCAACACAGGTTTCTGGGCTGGCACGGTCTTTGAAGGCGGACCTCGATAAAGGTCTGAGCGAGGATGAAGAGGACTTCAAAAAGCGCGCAATCGCGTTTGGCACAAATACGTACCCAGCAGCCCAACTAACTCCTTTTTGGGTGAGCATTTGAGCCTTTGCGGTTCAGGATGACCGAACGATCCATTAGTCCGAGGCTCGGCAGGCAGCCAATGCAGGCCTCTAAGCAGCTTTTATTGAGCAGCCACAGTACGATCAAGGGGCGTAAAAGCCCCCTCTTCAATCCACCCCTTTTTCTTAACGGGTAGTGTTGAGGCCTAGGCCGGATGTGTATAGGGGGCGGTCGGACGCTTCAAACAAAAATTGGCGAAGCTCTAAAGCTGACGCTTCACTGTGGTACAGGAGTACGTCTGGGAGGCCATGCAGGACACCACAATGCAGATCCTGGCACTCTGTGCCGCTGTGTCGCTGGCTGTCGGCCTGTCGACCGAGGTAGGTCGTCGCATCAGTAAGAAACGCAGATGTAAAGCCACTTTGACAAGGGGAGAACGAAATGCCTTCACACTACACATACAGGAATTCGCCGCTACCCATCTTTCTCGAACAGCAAGATTCAGGTCGGACGTGAAGTGCAGCGAGGCCTTAGCTGCCTTACTTGGAACTTTTGTAAACGAAGCATCTGAACCGTTCTCGTCTTTGCTTCTTTGCGAGCGGCAAGTCACGGTCCTAAAGTTTTGGAAGACAAGGGCCAGCAAACCACATCTTGACTTTGCTGCAGGATCCCGCAAAAGGCTGGTACGACGGTGCCGGGATTGCTTTCGCCATCATCCTCGTGCTCGTGGTCGGATGTAAGTACGATGGCACCACGTCTTTGTGTGTACTTTCACGAACAAACTTGACAGTCAGCCGCTCCGGATCCTATTTGTCAGAGCAGATTGTTTGCGCATGAGATTTGCAGCTCAAACCTTCATATTGTCTCCTCGGGTCTGCATGATTGTTGATGTCGAAAATATGCGAGCTTTTGTCCAAAACCTATGAGCTGGCCATGCTACAAAAGATCGACGACTATCTGTCTTTTGGGTTCTTGTGCGAGCCTCCAATACTCGCGTCAGACATCTTGATGTTTTGGTTTGCAGCTACAAGCAACTACCAGCAGAGTCTTCAATTCGCTTCTCTTAACGACGAGAAGAGAAAGATTTTTCTAAATGTGTCAAGGGGCGGAAAGAGATTGAAGGTGTCAATCTTCGAGATTCTCGTGGGGGATGTTGTACACATATCAATCGGGGATCAGGTGAGCATTCATCGTCTGTCTTAGTAGCAGAGCTAGTGCTGGGTCACCTGTACACTTGACATCACCATGCAGGCCTGCGCAAAAGCTTATGTGCGATTTGGACTGGAAATGGATTGAATCACGAAGCTCGATCTCCGTTCTGTCGTTTATCAAGGAGCTGCGAGGTCTTTACCAGACGGTGTCATCTCCACTCTCGGTCCTTCGAGGGGATTGCTACCTGGTCAGCTCTTTTGAAATGCTTGCAAACCTGGAACTACTACGAAAGCAAAGCTCTCGCGTGCAAAAACGCTGATTCTGACACTTAGGACACATGCGTCGTCCAGCTATTGATGAAGTAAGACAAACCTTGGCCCCAAGAGAAATTCTACCTTTCTAAACTGGCAGAGATCATGATAGATTTCCACTATAGAATTGACAACCAGCAGATAGCCTAGCAACCAATCAGTGTCTCTAACAGTGACAAGTCTGGCACCACGAACTTTCTCTCGCAGGTCCCAGCGGATGGTATTCTGATTCAAGGTCACTCGTTGAGCATTGACGAGTCCAGTATGACCGGAGAAAGCGAACATGTTCATGTCAACGAGAAGCATCCATTCTTAATTTCCGGGTGCAAGGTCATGGACGGCTTCGGCTCCTTTCTGGTAAGTTTCCGCGCTTCTTCTTCGTAACCTTTTCGTAGCTGCGGTTGAGGATTTACACAAGGCGGTGAACCTAGTATCCTACGGAAATGATCCTGTAGGGAGGCCTCGGAGTGCTCAGCAAACCCGTTGCCGAAGTCAAGCTAGAACCTTTCGCTTTTTACTGAATGTTGGTGGACACGCAGGTTTATTTCCCCATACGAGTCTGAGATCAAGCGCACGCACGTGACCATGAACAACCGACTCAGTGACTCGACTGGTTATCGTTCCAGTCTGACTTGCGCAACTATATAGAGCCTGCAACGGATGGATACGTCTGTCTCAGGTGACTGGCGTGGGGATGAACACGGAGTGGGGACGTGTCATGTCGACACTGAATGAGGACAACGAGGAGGACACGCCGTTGCAGGTGACTACATAAGCTCTAAAGCGAACGGCTCAAGTTCCTAACTCGGCGAACGTTCTTAGATGTTTCCGCAGCTCTTCATTCCCTGGCATCTAGAATGGTGGAACCAGTCTCTTTTTTCCGATTTGGAAAGACAATGATTGCAAAGACCTCGTTCTCATCTCTCTTCCAAAGTACCTGAACTTCTCCTGCATCAATCTCTGGTCAAACTTTCTCGTCAGCAAAGCAGGTACTACTTTTGCTGAATATTCTAACTGATTATGCAGATTCGGCTGGATACTTTGGCTAGCTCCATCGGCAAGATGGGCCTGTCAGTCGCCGTCCTGGTCCTGGTGGTACTTATCATCAGGTGAGCCACAAAGACCAGGAGCGGCTTCTCCATCAGCCAGCAGGATTCTAAACTGCTCGGACATCATCCGGAACGATCCTTCAAAAAAGTCTTGGATTGAACCCGGTGGACAATCATTTTTAGGGGAACATTCAAGGGGACTAGATTCATCAGGGAAAAATTCAAGGGGCCAGTATCAAACTATCGCGTCTGGTGCTTACCGATCATCGCACTTGCAGGCTTCGCGGTGCACAAAAGCGTCCCTTCCAGACCGGCAAGATCCGATGTTGGATTCGCATGCGGTATGGATGAGCCATGCACTGCCGGAGCCTCACGAAGGTTAAAAGTTGCCATAACCACATGTTCCGTGCCCTCTCCCTTTCCAGGTTCTTCGCCACAGTTGACTTCCACCACTTCAGCTCACACGACGTTCGAACGCTAGTCGAGTTCTTCTCTATAGCTGTAACTATCGTCGTGGTGTCCGTACCAGAAGGGCTGCCCTTGGCGGTCACGCTCACGTAAGTTCTCGATTCGACGTCCACATCTCCCCTTGCTCGTCTCCCGCCAATTCTATCATCGTTCCTTCCGTGTCATGTGGAAGCTTTTGCCGACGATTCATGTTTCGTAGTGGACCCTGAAAGCGAGGCTAGCGGCTGTGCCAAGTCCCTAGCTCTCGAGAGTCACGAGCTCCTTGTTTGCAGGCTCGCTTACTCGATGCACAAGATGATGGTGGACAAGGCCCTCGTCAGAAAGCTGGCAGCGTGCGAGACGATGGGGTCCGCCACCACAATCTGCAGCGACAAAACAGGGACCCTAACCATGAACCTGGTAAGTCCCGATGCTGCGCATGATCGCGAACATGCAAGACCAAGCTGAGTTTGAGAGCTTCATACCTGAGACTCTGACCTTACTGATGCAAGCACTGCACGCACCGGGATCAACTTCCTTCGAGCTGCGTGATAGCCAGGAAGACAAGGTGAGGACATGGAAACCTCGAAAATCAGGGGATACTAAAGTACGCAGGCAGTTCATTAATGATCACCAACGGGAACCCGAGCGAAAACCCGTCTGTTACATCACTAAGGTCTGCTGCCATCTGCACGTCCGTAGAATTCCTGTAGCTGCGGATGGGAGTGTCTTGAGAATGCTGCGAGATGGTTTGCCGCCTCTTCTCCGCTGTCTGATCTGGTCGAACTTGTCGCCCTGTCAGATGACGGTGGTGAAGTCGTGGTGCTGCGGAGCGTTGCGAGAGCCGGATCATACCACGGAGCAGCTGTCCAAGGAGGCCATGGCGGTAAGTTCCGCCATAGGAAAACAAGTGCCCCGCAGAGCAGCGTCCTTCTGACATCGAGTCGCTCCGGCCCCCGTTGAAGTCGCAAACACGAGGTGGTCACAATCAAACTGCTGATCATCATTAGAGATCTACTAGCGCTCAAAATCTCCCCTGCTATCCTGCTTGTCTTGTCTTCTCAGATGGTCTACGAGTCACCAACGCAGCGGTAGAGCAGCTGGAGGACGGCAACAAGCCCGTCATTAATGGTACCCCGACAGAATCAGCGGTCTTGGCGTGGGCATGCAAGGTGGGTCCGACTGACTATGCTTTGATGACTACTCCTTGTTGGCAAAGAGAGAAGCTACAAGCAAGTAGCCTCACGTTGACGCGGCAGAGGACGCGACGAGAAACTGCAGAACGTCATGCTAGTTCGGCTTGCCGCTAGTGCAACTCAGTTGCGTTCTGTAATGCTTGCTGTCCTTTTCCAATCAAACCGCCAGACTGTTGTCTGAATCTCTTGCGCTCCTTCAGCTGGGAGCCAGATTCAACGCCGTGCGGGCATCCACGGACGTCATCGTCATCTCGTCTTTCAATTCGGAGAAGAAGCGGATGGGCGTCATCATCAAGGTGAGCTCTCTTGGACCACCCCAAGCGTGAGTGTATCAAGTCACCGTAGTATCAGCAGCATACCACACGATGAGCTCTGAGACTACCCTTAACTTCGTAAGAACCGAAACGTACCCATGTAGTCCCGTAGTGTGATCTTCCGCTAATGACGAAGTTGCCAGTGTTTCATCCGTTGCCGCTCATTGGCAACGATGGCAAAGTGCTTCAGGACTACGTTACCGGTCCGTGAGTCGTATTGTTGATTGATTCACCGGATCTTTTGTTGCAGACAAAGAACGAGGGCAAGTTCCGCGTGCACTGGAAGGGCGCCGCAGAGATTGTCCTCGAGCAGTGCGACAAAGTGATTGACGAAAACGGCTTCGTGCTACCCATGACATCCCAAAAGGTAACATTCAACTGACGATTTGAGCTATTGTCGAACGCTTCGGTAGTGCGCAAAGATAGGCGGGAAGAATGACATCTCGACAAGGGAGACCTGATGCTCTTATTCTGGAAGGACGGTTATCCATGTTCCTTCGAGCCGCACTAGGCCGCAACGTAGCTCCTGGTAAACGTGCAAACTTTCATGTCATAAAGTTTCAGAGCACCTTTGGGCTGCATTTTATTTGCTGAAGTGCCTTTTTTGATTGAGGAGCTGAGATCCAAAAAGGGCTCAGGTCCCGATAGTTCTCGCACAAAAAATCGACCCTCAGAGAACGCAAGCACTATCCAGGAAAGTTAAGATGAAAATCTGTTGACATCCGTCGGTCGCTAGATGCAATCGCTGTGTCCATTCGAATGAACCGGGGGCTCAGAAGCATCGTTCTTTTTGCCGCCGTAGAAGACGGAGCTCCACCAGATCATCGACACGTTCGCCCGGAACGCTCTTCGGGCCTTGTGCCTGTGCTACCGGGATCTGCGGGCCGACGAGGTGTCGGGGGAGGGCCAGGACATGCCGGACCAGGGCATGGTCTGCCTGGCCATCGTGGGGATCAAGGTAAACCCTCGCTCCAACTGAAACGCGCGTGCACCTTCCAGGAATACAAGCTAGCAAGCGGCCTGATTGGAGGCAGTAGCGCGGCCCGTCCTCTTTCCTTGCGATCGCAGGACGAACCAGATTTTGGTCGACCCCTGTTTCTCTAAGACAGTCCTCGTGTTTTGGAGGTTCAAGATGACGCAACCCTCGCCGCTGCGCTCTATACTCATCATAGCAGGAAACAACCTTCGAAGACGTCTCAATAATGTGCTGCTGAAAGCCGTGTAGTCAGACAGCTTGAGTGGCCGAAACTTGCTGCCCGCAGGATCCTTGCCGCCCGGGAGTGCCCGAAGCCGTTGCTGTGTGTCAAAAGGCGGGGATCCTCGTTCGAATGGTTACGGGCGACAACGTGACGACTGCAATGGCCATTGCACGCGAGTGTGGCATCCTGCGGGCTGGCGGGGTGGCCATCGAGGGGAAAGACTTCCGAACCATGACTCCGGAAGCCCAGATGTTGCTTCTACCCAGTTTGCAGGTACGTACTTTCTGTTCCTTCCCGATGAAATGTGCCTAGCGTCAAACGAGAAGCTCAAACGAATTCTGCTACCATAGAAATATAAATTCCGTCAATCCGTTGCTGCTTATTGAAGCCGTGATCAGTGGTTTTTCATACGAATACATTGGTCAGCCTAACATTATGTGACCGCTCTCCGCCGAAAATACAAGTGTGCTGGCGTAGACGAAGCTGTACAGATTTTGAGAAAACTTGTCAGGACCCTTGTAACGAGAGTTGGTTCGTGGTTGCTTTCCTGCAGCCACTAACCGCACTTGTTTCGTGGGTAAGGAAAGTCAGTTTGCAGCTTTGATTGGGCGCCGTTGTCATGTCGCCTGAAGAACGTTGTAGCAAGTGAGTAAGCTGCCGTTCAGGTGATGGCCCGGTCGTCTCCCACGGACAAGCACATGCTGGTCCGACGGCTGTTGGAGATGGGCGACGTCGTAGCGGTGACGGGGGACGGTACCAATGATGCACCTGCGCTGCACGAGGTAGGGGCGTAAAGAGGCACTGTCTCGCATGCGTTGCTGATGCGCTCAAGGAACGGAGAACGTACAGTGATCTCATTCTGTAGCTTGTGGCGTGCTTCGGCAATACATCCGGTCAGCATGGTAGCAAGAGTTGGCCCGCTCGCTAGGGTTTGAGCACTGAAGCGCCGTCCAAGAGAGCTGACAGGAAACACCAAGCTTCGCGGCCAGCGAAAGACCTTCCATGTTCTTTTCACTGTCACACTGCCTCCTTGTTGAACGATCTTGCAAAAATTTGCTTCCCAAATCTGCAGGCTTCCATCGGGCTGGCTATGGGCATTTGCGGCACGGAGGTCGCCAAGGAGGCGTCGGACATCGTGATTCTGGACGACAACTTCGCGTCCATTATCAAGGTGGTGCGCTGGGGCCGCTCCGTCTTCTTCAACATCCAGAAGTTCATCCAGTTCCAGATGACCGTCAACCTAGTTGCGCTCTCCATCAACTTCGTGTCGGCCGTCGGCTCCGGCTACGCCCCCCTCACCGCCGTCCAGGTGAGCCGTTGAGGGCAGCCTGCTAAGATCCTTGAGTGCTCAAGAAATAGATGATTCGAGGTTTGAAAGCGTCTGCTTCCGCCTTGCTCTGGACCAGAAGGAACACTTACGATGGGCTGGACAATTACTAAGATCGATGACCACGAACAGGACTTGGAAGAGTGGGGCTTCTTCACTGATTGATGGTGCATCTTTACAAAAGGTTTGTTCCCCTATACTGCCTTCTATTCGACGAAAAGCTCCTTGTCTAGGTCCTCGACCAGTCTCCGAACCCTTTTCCTTTTACCTCGCAGCTTCTGTGGGTCAATCTGATCATGGACACTCTGGGTGCCTTGGCACTCGCCACGGAGCCGCCGTCCGACGAGCTTATGAAGGAGAAGCCCATTGGGTCAACGTAAGTAAAACCTTGTCTTGCGCGCTTCTCCGTTCCGTTATAAGCAATCCGGTAACGCATCCAAAATGCTCAAGTGACAGGAATCTAGATTGCTTGCTCTCAGTACTTTGCGTCCAGTGCTAGATATGAAGGGCTGAAATTGAAGTACTGCCTTTCCAATTTCACGGCACGGACATGCCCATTACTTTTAGCAAGCAATCTTCGTACCGACCAGGATAGCGTAGGAACGAAGGTATGAGGACACCCAGATTCGCGCCGGTCGCTACAACAAGGGACTCTCAGGATACTCTAGCCGTCGACGAGGCTCCACTTTGACATGGGGGTCTGGGTTGCTGCAGCGCGCCGCTGATGACGAACGCGATGTGGCGCAACATCGCGTGCCAGTGGATGTACCAGCTGGTGGTGCTGCTGGTGATGCAGTACCAGGGCGCCAACATCCTGAGCCTGCACCCCGTGCCCAGCCAGCCCGGCCACGACAACGGCAACCCCAAGCTCGTGTGCATGATCTTCAACGCCTTCGTCTTCTGCCAGGTGGGGGCCCGGGGCTGGCAGGCGGGGTTGCGCACGTGACGAAGTACACTCCAAGGGTGCTGTCATTTGACTGGAAGGATCATTCAGTGATCCACTCGAAGGCACGTTCTTGATCCCTGCTCTTGATAGCTTGAGGGACTAAAAAGCCTAGATTCCGAGAGCCTGTCTCCTTCAAGTTACCTGCTCTTCATAAGCCGACCCACGAAGTGTAGCTGATCCACGCCATTTTACCTCTCCTCAGATCTTCAACCAGATCAACGCTCGGAAGCCGTACGAGTTCAACGTGTTCGCGGGCCTCCTCCAGAGCCGCATGTTCAACATCGTCTGGCTAATCACCTGCCTATTCCAGGTTCGCGAAACTCAAGTTCTCATGTTTAGCAAGCGCGATCGCAAGAATTCTTTTGACTTCCGCCTTTAAGATCTTTGCTTTAACTTACCGACTTTGTTTTACATTCATTTCGACCTCTTGAACCCACTTTCTGAATACATGTCGTTCCGAGGTCACGCCCTAGGGCTATGGATGGGGCACACTCTTGAGCAGAGCAGACATTGTTCCATGCCAGCTATCAGTTTGGAAGTCAGAATGGTGCCTGAAAATCCGAAGGGAGTATTTTAACGGTCTTTGGCTATGCCAGACAAAACATCAATCCGCTGCATCTCTCGTCCCATCGTTTAAATCGGCATTCAGCTTAAAACTATGCACAGGTCAGTCTTACTAGCTCATCCGCGCCGCAGTGGGGTTCGAACGATAGAGTGTCTTGCTGTGCATTTGGGTCCGCGGCCGACCAGTCCTGCCTCTGAAAGTTGACGACATCTGCAGGTCTTGCTTGTGGAGTTCGTGGGGACATTCACTTCCACCACTCACCTCTCTTGGGACCAGTGGCTGATCTGCGTCGGGCTTGGTGCCGTGAGGTGAGGAAGGCCACTTCTGGCCCGCAGAAAAAGGACGATTGCCCTCATCGCTTCCTCTCAAGCGCCTACCTGGCCTGTACGTGTTGGTCGGTCTGAGTTGCTCACATTGGGGCACTAATGCGATGCGCCGATCGAGTCGTCTCTTCCTCATACTTCTGGACAGAAAGTGCCACACTCTGGGATGGGGTATCATCTGCGGCACTAACCGCGTATTCTTGGCGGCCCTCAGTTCGAGCATCTGCGCAGTTGGTTTGCCAGTCACCACAGGCCTCTCTTCCGTGCGCAGTATTCCCATCGCCTTCGTCTGCAAGTTCATCCCGGTCCCCGAGAAGCCCTTTGCGGAGCTACTCTTGCGGAGGCGCACCCTCAGGCAGGCGCAAGCCGACTTACGTAGAGCGAGCGGTGAGTTGCTAAGTTTGACCCTCTGCCATTACTTTTTACGCTTATCTTGTCACCGTCACAAACATGGCAAAGAAAGTTGGGCAAGGATCAATTTGGAGCTTCACCCGTTATAAGTTTATTGGCTATGAAGAGGTTGTCCGATGCAGCTCGAGTATATGCAACTGGGCCGCCGCTACGCCGCACCGCCTGATCGGCTTTCTGAAACGGGCGCCATTTTTGGTTCACAAAATCTGGTCACGCCCATGGATAGCAATATCGACCTGGAGAGCCTCGGTTTCTGAAGGACACTGTATCAGATGATGCGAACGTGCGGTCTTAGGATACTGCGCCCGGTGCGCTCGACAACTCCGGAGCCTCCGAATGAAAAGGCCTTAATTGAGGATTTGCGCTCCGTGCAACTCACCCGCTGTCTTAACACCTGTTGCTGCAGTGTCGCACAAGAGCGCAACATCGAAGAGCGGCGCATCTGTGAGCACGCCTGCCTGGAGCCCGCATTCGCGCACCTTGCAGACCAGTGCCGCCAGCAAGACGGTCCGGTCGGGCCCATCCCTTGGGGCGGACGGCCACCACGCGAACCTCCGAACCGGCCTCAATGGTCTCTTGCTCCCCGAAGGACGCTATCACATCGAAGGGCGGCAAGATGGATCGCCAGCTCACCAAGAGTGACAGGGTGTTGGTGCATCGCTGCAGAGAGAGTGAATAGAAAGCGCAATTACGTACTTAGAGGCTCGTTTGGCAATCAGCCGGTGGGTAAGAGAACTCGTCATGGTGGAAACATTTGAGGGACTCCTTTTGGATTTTTAAGGACCAAGAAAAGCGCTTCGACTTAGAAGCATGCCCGCGGCTCAATCCTCAGGGTGTGCCATGCAGAGGAAAAACCCGGTTGCATGCTACAGAGATGTGCAGGGTGCACGAAGCCCGCGTCTTAGAGAGAAATTTGCGAGCATGCGCTTTGCCATGTTCCGGGTGTTGAAAGAGCACTTGGTCTATAGTCCTTGGACAGGCTGTAGACTCATGAGCGCACTACCATTTGTTGTCAGGTATAGGGAGTAGAGATCAACAATCAACCATCAAAGACAAATTGGTCACCCATAGAATCTGAGAATATTTCCTCAGTACTCCAATCAAGTTAGCCGGGAGGTCGGCAGCTCGAACGAACGGAGCCTAGGAACAAAAAAGGCACGACTTCTCAAGAGCGGCGGTATGGAGCAATGTACATTAAACACGTGATCAAAAGACAATCGATGGTGAAGATTTCATTAGGAGGACTTTGACAAACTTACATGAGAACCGGATCCACGCGTGCCAAGCATAACACAAGCCTCGTGCAAGTCGAGAATACGTTTAGTATCTCGAGTAACATTGTTGTTAAGGCGAATTTATTCAATGATCTAGCTAAGCAGGGTAAGCTCCATGCAAAAAATTCTCCTCTCAACTACTCACTACTACGGCGGCATTAAAATTGCAACTTACTAGAAATACCAGCATCATACTACCGAATGATGTGGCCGCGTTGAGTGTGACATGAAAACGGCGCAAGATATGCACTGACACTGCATACTGGCTGTGTTGGCCGCTGAATGGGATGAATGCAAGCGAGGATGGCTGATTCACGCCGGCGCCTTACAGAGGTCAAGCGGCTCCTAAAGTAATGTATTGAAGGTCAAAAAGTTCTCTCTTGTGGTCACCGGGTTCGAGCATCATTGGAGTCGGCGACAAAAGAGGAAATAGTCACCGACTTACTAAGTCACGGAGTTATATGTGTTTAGTTTGTTTCTTTTCTATCGCTCTCTCAATTACATTTTTTGTCTTTGTCAGCGGCACGCCAAATGGTGCATGCTGGCACGCCAAAAGATCAGAAGGATCATGAACCATTCATTCACTTTCAGCGCCCAAACGTGAGTCCGACCATAGTTTGCCAACTACCTACACCCACTGAGCTTTATTGTATTTCAGATGGGGTAACGGTAAAGATGTGCTTATTCCGGCCGAAGTTCAAGGCTGGCCGGAATCTTCCAAAACGACTTATGTCATGAGTCGTCCAAAACTTTGTTTGGAAATCCGCCAACTTGGCTCGCCGAGAAGGTCGAAAGTAACGTCTCAGGACTTTGTATCAGCAGACTCGCATGTGGCCGCCGCAGCTCCGTCCATCTAACTTCACGCAGGCTCAGCTTGGCTGTTAAACTCCGGGCTGAACCAAGGCCCAACTATCAAGCCTATGATCAATGACCCCCACCGATGGTGAGCCATGGCGTGAAAGTTATCCGGACGTCACTAATCACCTACTACTATGGGCGGCACTACGGTACACCCGACGGAACTATTCAATCTTTTGCGCGAAAAAATAGTGACAGTGGTTCCATGCGCCATCAACAATGTCAGGTGATGTCCAAGCGCGGCTCAACAAAGTGAAAATCGGCGATTTACTCTAGCACATGAAAATTGGCCGCCCTTTAGTCACATCCGAGTCATGGAGGGGCGATCTGAGCTTCCATTCCCAGACGTCTAGCATCGATGAGTATCTGCGGCGCAAGATTTGATTGGCAAGAAATCACGCCGCTATGTCGTTTTAATGAACTTCCCCGCAGTGGGATTCGACCTTACGACCTCTCGGCCCTCTCATTTCGGCGCCGACTGGACCGCGGTCGGCGGCCAGACCGAACCGTCGGACTCTAGGCACCTCGCATGTACAGTGGGCATAGCCCCTCTGCCGGAGTTCATGATTGCGGCCAGCTGAGTTGCATCGGGCAGGTTGGGGCCCCCAAGAATGCTGGCACCGTAAAGATGCAGCTTGATTATTGAATGCAACATGACGTTCGCAGTGCGGCGATGCCACCGATATCACACTGGCCTAGAATCTCGGAGCACTGCATTACCAAAGCCTATATGCGGCATGATCCGAGGCTTTGATGCGGACAAACTCGCAGTACCATTGCAAATTCAATGACTATAAGTGCAATTCCTTGCAAATTATCAATGCCCGGTTAAAGTTCTATGCAATTGCAACAAGGAGAAGTTGCCAATTGTACGTGGCGGCGCAGGCTTTTCAAGCCCATCGCGGGGATCTTCTGGTAGCTACGCTCATGAGTACAGCGTTCGGCGAAACTTACCCACATAAACCCAATAGCCTCTTCGAGAATCTCCTTACAGCTGAATAAGGTTCTTCTTTGGTTCCCAGGCATCAGTGTGCTCGAGCCCATACCTTGAACCATTTGACGTGAAACTCGAGGCTTGGTTCCTTTTTCGTGTTTAACTTTGCGGTCATCTACTCGTACTCTTTCGATCTCATACTACCAATGAGTCGTCGATTTCGATGGGTGGTGGAGGCGGCTGCACTCGGGCCGCTCCGATCGAGTCTGTAGCCTCTTCACAAATTTACGTGAAACACGTTGTGTGTGACGGTTGACTAGCTTAAGCGAAGCGCTGGCAAGATAACTACACGCGACACAAGCAACCATGTGCGGAAACCATGGTTGCCTGCACGCGTTTTTTAACAAAGGCGCAGCTCTGTAGAAATGTTGTCTTTCTGCTCAAGCCTACAGCCTTTCTGCTTGCTGGTTGGGACTTGTTTCCAAGGATCCCCGCAAGCCTACTACGTCTCATTTTTGTTCGCGTTCAATGAAGTTTCGAATTATGGAGAGGCAGTCCACGAGCGCACTCGACTCTGCATCCCTTAGTCACGTCTAAGGCTTCCGTCCAGCTAGTCAGAAAGCATACCTACGATCCGATGGTAGAGCGTCATGCACCATGCCAAGCAATCCTGGTCACTGTTATGAACTCAGTGTGGTCATGCTGGCCGCTGCATCACAACACTTGCTAACTAAGCATGATCACTGTGAACTCTACGAAGTATTTGGTGGCGTAATTAATTGATTTACCGTTAACTACGTCACATCGTGACTGTACTCATATGCCGCAACCTGGCATATAAGCTAACCTGAAAAGTTGAACACTGGTGACGATGCGCGCTTAGACCTAACTATGGCCCATCCATCACACTGGTTACACCTCCCTGAAACGCTGACTTGGGTTGATTCTGAGTAGAAGGACAGGGCCTGTCTGCAGCCACCAGAAAGCTACTTGAGGCTTGCAAGGCTTGATAGTAGTAGCCTGTAGGCTTAGCCTCCTTGATCTGCTCCTCAAACTTCTTCCCCCAGATTTGGATCGGATTAATTCACTGGAGGCTCCGGGCGCTGATGCAGGAGATCCACTGTGGTGGGATTCAGTGGCTTCCTTGCTACCAGAGTCCCCACTGCCATTTCCACTGCCACTGCTTTTGGAGGGGTTGACCATCGAGGTCAGGGTCGAGTCCACCCTGCCACTGTGCCCCGTGTTCCCCGGATTGCCCTCTTCAGCCTGTGAAGAGGGGGAGTCGGAATTGAAACGTGTTTACTTCTTGTGAGCATGGGAGAGGCGCGAAGGTGCCTCGTTATAAAGTTCTCGGAGAGAAGATGGTGTAATTGAGGCTACACCTTTTGTGGAATCCGGAGACTATGTGTCTCATTCCTGCTCCCCTAAGTGGGAGTTCAAGCATGCATAATCTCATGTGTATGATATTACGAGGCGCAGACTTGCAGCCAGTCACCATGCATAGACTCAAAAAGTATGTCCGTTTTGATTTCAACCGGATCCGGCCATCCAACGCCGTGGAACTCGCTCGAGGTGCAACTCGCGGCCGCACTGCCCGTGTGACGTGACACAAATGAGCATAGCTATAGCTCATAAGCATAGAGTCACCGTTACAGACCCAAGCCTTTAAATTCTCGGACTTTGAAAAATCCTGCATTCCGGGCATGCGGTGCCATGCC